AGTTCAGATGGGGCAGGAGGCAGCAAGTCAGGGGTGCCCTCTGTTCACCATCTTAAGACTGGAAGTCCCGCCCCTAACCCCTGACCTTTGCTACCAGAAATTACTCCCTTTGTCCCTCTCCCCCTACTCCCCCACCAGAAATATTCCTTTTAGGAGGGGGAGGGGTGCCATCTTGGAACCAGAAAAAAAGCAAATCATACACTAAAAGTCAAACATCTACTATAACATATTTGAATTTTATTACAAAAAATATTTTTGTCATGATTTGTGTTTACATACTGTATATAGAAGTGATTGCTTAACAACTCAAAAATAAATTCTAAGTCTTGAATATTGTGTGGCAGGGTGTGGTTGGGGATGTGTGTGTGTATGCTGGGGTGTGGGTGTGTGATAGGGTGTGGGGGGTGTGGCTGTGTATATATGTGTGGGATTGTGGGAGCAGGGTGTGGGTGTGTGGCATTTGTGGGCTGAGGGAGGGTGGAAGGGTGTGGAGACCCCCTTCACACTCCCCCGCATGGCACAGCAGCAGCAGGCAGGAACGCTCAGGGTGGTCGTGCCTGGACAAGTCCCAGGATCTGTGCGGCAGGGAGTGATGAAGGCTTCCAGCTCCAGCAAATGGAGCTTCCCTCCAGTGGCACGCAAGTTCAGGGGCTGCACATGCGTGGCAGGGAGTGTCGATGATAAGGCAGCCCAGCCTGGCTGTGCCCCTCACTGTGATCTGCAGTGCTGGCCAGAGCTGCGTGCCACCAGGCAGCAGCGCCTATGGTGGGCACACGCACCCTGAGCACTCCCACTTGCTGCCACTGCTGCCTGCTGGGGCTGTGCACAATGTGGGGAGTGTAGGGGGTCCCCACACCCCCACCCTCCCTTGCAGCCACACCCTGCCCACCCAAGCTCCGCACTGCCACCACCCCCCTGGGCGAGGGCTCCATGTTCCCACCCAGCTGCAGCTCCCCACCACCCCCACCACTTCCCTATCTGCTGCCCGGAATGAGTGGGATGCTGAGGAAGCTGAACAGGTCCCCTGGCAATGGCAGCAAACCCCCACCTGGAAGCTGTGTGCTGGCTGAGCTGGGCCCTTCCGCCCACGAGGTGGAAACAAGGCGCAATAGGGTATGTTGCGGGGGGGTATACGTGGGTGCCTCACTCCCATCCTAATGGGTGGAAGAGCTGAGAGGGGTACAGTTAGTTGGTGGGCACCATAGGCCAAATAAAAATGCCTGGTGGGCCATATTTTGCCTGCCCCTGATGTAAAGACTGAAAAACCATGCATCTTATTGATTCAGAACAAATGAAATAAGAACTTGATTATTAAAACTAGGTACCATTATATGTATCTGATTCAATAAAAGAAGGAAAAGCACTTATCCATGGATGGATCTACAATTTTGAAAAAAGAAGTACAAATGGAAAGGTACATCATCATCTATAATACATCATCATCTATAACACATCATCATCTATAACATATTTTTCTCCATTTAAAAAGAAACTAGAAGCTTTACAAATAAGCTAGGGACCTAGGGCTTATTATTCAGTTTAAGATTAAAGCAAAAAAAATATTGGAATGTGTATTGATTTGCTATATCATATATGATATATAAAAACACAACAAACTAGGCTCTAAAGACGTTGCTTCATTAGTCCTGTAGCCATTAGAATTAAACATACATCTCTTTCAGATTCATAAAATAAAATCAAGCCTTCTTGAGCTTCTTGACAGTGCATCCAGTGCTTCAGTTAAAGTTATTTCCACACCTGAGTTAGTGTTCACCTAAATTAAAATATCCACACCCAAGTTAATGCTGCCAGGTAGAGTTAAAAACAGTGTTCAGGCCAGTGAAATAGGAGCTACATTACCAGACTGCAGAATTGCAGAAGAAAAGATAGCTTGATTAGTAAAAATATTAAAAACCATTAAAAAAAGAGGGAGGGTAATTAATGCTTGTCCAAGGAAGAGTTTAAAAGGAATCAAATTGTAGTGAGCCTTGAAGTCAATTGACTCATTCACTGCTGCCTGAATAGAAATGCTGCTGCCACTTCCAGGCAGTTGGTTTCAAACTTTGGGTGGAGCAGGAGAAAAGGGGTGTGCGACTGCACCACTGCACCATGCCCCCCCCCAGTCCCACCTCTCCACTTACCTTTTCCAAAGGCAGTGCTACTTTCGTTTTCTGTCCGACAGAGAATGAATTAAGTGGTACTTCCAGGGAGCCACTGGAAGCATCTCTTTGCATTTTTGTTTCAGCTGCACCACTCTGAAAAGAAAATCCCAAGTATTTTGACTGTGGTGGGAAACATTTTAAAAACACAGTAAACTGAAAAAAGTAAATTAACCTGGTGCACGGTATGCAAACATTGTACAAGCTGACAAGTTGATAATGGATAGAGGATGTTACCTCTAGTGTGGCTTTTAATGTTGGCTCCCAACCTTTTATGCAATGCAAGCACAGGATGTCTGAGTCCTCAGTGATTCTTTGCATTTCTTCATAGGATTCCTTCACCATAAGCATAACACTTTCACCTCCTAGATAAATCAGGCCAGTTAGTGTGCATAGGGTTATCAATGTAAGAACATGACAGTGCACCCCTTTGGAACACCTCCCAGCTAGCTGTGTATTCTCTCCCCTGCACACCTTACAAATCCTAAGCAAGCAGCCCTATAGTCCATTCATCCATGCCAGAGCCAAACCATTATAAAATGGGAGGCCCATTTCTCAAATAACCTCATCCCTTCTAAGTTCTATCTGTGTCTCCAGAATTTTTTACAAGACAGGCAATTTGATTACAGAGGAGCAAATTTTTCTATCCAGGTGCTTTCTCTTTCTCTGATAATAAGTTATTAAGGAAGTAATAAGTAATAAGGAAGTCAGCCCTAAGATTCATTATTATTGTTCATTGTTATTAATAACAATGAATCGTAGAGCTGACTTCCTCCAACATTCAGTTATCCCCACTCTTCCACCATTACCTCCTAGTGTGCACATAATATGGTATGAACTGTTTTTTAATCTTATTCCGGAGCAGAGGTGAGTCCTACCAGACATCCCATTGAGTAGAACCTCTTCCCATTTCTCCCATATGATGCCCTTATTCAAGAAAAGTAAATTTCAAGGTGTATTGACTTTGGCACTAGAGACTTAGGCACTTCCAAATGTGGAGAACTGTTGGTCATTCAGAAACATGAACAGAATTAATCATTGATACTGAAAGTAGGGCTGTGCAAGTAATTCATAGGTAATAACATTTTAATGAATTGTACCTCTTAGCTTATTAATACATAGGTGTAAGGGAGGGGTTTTCAACCTTTTGGGGTCATTGTACCCCCGGCAGCTGGTCAAAAAGGCAGGAGTCCCCTGGTGGCTAGACGAGCGGGTGGGGGAGGAGTTCCCCAGCAGCCGATCAGCGACTGGAGGTGGGTGGCACAACTGGCAGCACAGCGGCGGTGGAAGCACCAGTGGCCCCCACCGGCAGCAGCCACTGCCAAATACCCCCTGAGGCCATCAGAAGTACCCCAGGTGTACACATAACCCCAGTTTAAAACCCCTGGTATAAGGAATTCACAATATTAGTAGTGATTTGAAAGTAACCAAGGAATAATTTCAGTGAACTTTTTGGTCTGAAGCTTGTCTATGAGCATTTCCTTGGGGATATCCAATGTATGAAATTCAGACTGCTTTCGTAAATTGTGTGATATACCTCTGATCAGTGTTTGCATGATCATAGCTGAAGTCTACTAGACTTCTACAAACTTTTGAATTGTACTAGAATTCTACAAGGACTCAGTATTTGTCAGGAGACCTGGGTTCCAAACCTTATTCTGCCACTGATCTGTTGTATGGGAAAGTTGCTCTGTTTCTTTTTTGCCTCCATTTACCCTTTAGCCTTTAACCATCTCATCCATTTAGGCTTTAAGCTCTCCTGGATGTGTATGGTTTCCAGCCATGCATCTGGATCATCTAGTACAATACAGCCTTCTCTCACTTGTGGCCTCTATTGAAATTCAAATTATTAATAATAATTTTAGAATTAAATTTCTGAATATTTCTAGTTGCTAAATGTAAATTTGTTTTCAAGAAATATTTTCCAATATTTGTCAATATTCTTACCAATAAGGTCATTTGCTAGAACACATCTGGAAAGTTAGCATAAAAGAGGATGTGAAAATGGTCTAAGCAAACTTGTTTAAAAATGTGAATGCTGGTAAATAAATATTTGGGGAAGTTTGAAAGGGTTTCCCTTCACCATTTACTCAGATCCACATGGAAGACAGTTGTACCAAGGATCAAGCTTTTCTCAACAATTGTTTTTCTTTTGCCATTATGGATATTTGGAAGTAATTCAAAAATTTAATGTTTCTTATTTAGCAAATGTGGGCTGCCAAGTAGGCAGGATTTACTTCATGGTAAACTCACTTTTTAAATGTGCCTCATTTTCCCCTTTGGTCATCTGAACCTCCAAACATGACATTTCCCGGGCCTGTGACAGACAACCCATAAGGATAAAACCAGCTACTGAGAAGCATTTTGTTCACAGAGAGTAGATGTTTGGTCATGCTTTGCTCTTATGCAACTTGTAATAGAATTCTAATGTGCCTCAATACTCCCCCACTAATCCAAATTAAGAAATTTCTTGCAAAACCATTCAAAATTAAAGTCACATAGAATGCAAACTTGAATACCCATCTGATTTTCACATGGCATACAAATTTATCAATTTATTATTTAAAAAGAGACTTTTCCCAGTAAAAATAAAGATTAAAAGCAAAAATGGGTCTATTTTCAAGTGAAATGGGCTTATTTAAACAGTTAAGCAAGTTTTTCCTCTATAAAAATATACATTTATGCATGTTTAATATAAAAATGCAATTTGATCAACACTGCAACACCTAGTTGTGGGCAGGGAGGGCAAAAGCATGCCTTCTAGTTAGTGTGTTTTGTAAAATTGGATATCAAGAATAGTTAACTCAGTTTAACTGTATGCATGATTTTTCCTGATACCAATGCTGCTGAATTCAAAAGTTCAAATTCATGAATCAGACCCCCCAAAATCAAGTATTTTCAGCTGCCTTTCATTTGTTTCAGTTTGTGGGCTTCCTTCGTCCTCCTCTACACCTCCCTCCCAGCTTTTCTCCACAAACATAACGGTAAGAAACATTTCTTTTAAAACAGATTTACATAAAAATCACAAGACTTCAGGAGCTAGGGCTAAAGGAAATTAGAAAACACTGTAAGAGTTCCAGCAAAGTCATAAGAGATGGCATAACACCACGATTCAGAAATCTTACCCCCAGGACGCCATTAGTAATGAGTTTCTCAGGAGGACTGGGGCTGGAAAAAAGGCATTCAGAAAAAAGCTTTTAGCAATGAGGTACATGTATTAAATGTCTTAGTTTTAGGCGTGTTGAAAAGCCAGCTCTTCTAAGCCTGTGCAACATGTTGTTGCTTTATCTGCCTGGGAGGTAAATTCAAAGCTTCCACGGATTACAACATTAAGCCCTTGTTGGTGGGTTTTTTGTTTTTAAGGGAGTGGGGCAAAATGGAGATTTCAGAATTAGAACTGGTCAAAAATCAAAGAAACCCTCTCATACAAATGTCCAGGTTTTGCCATTTGTTTTTATTCTCATGTAGAGCAACTCAGACACCTCAAAACTTATCACAGAAAAAATCCAAGACAGACACCTCCAAAATAGCTATATCCTGGTGGCTTGAGCCCTCACCAGAGACCTGGGAGATCCAGCTTCCTGGTCCCTCCTCTAAATCAGGCAGAGCAGAGAATTGAGCCTGTGTGTTCCTCCACCAGTACCATAATGAGAGGTGGATCATCATGGCACCAGCTGGACACCCACTTAGGCACAGCACAAGAACACAAGCTGCCATTGCAGCTGTTACACCTTTACCCCCAGCATCACCGGTGAGTGCCCTGCTGCTGGGCTACTAGTTATTCCATGAGGTCTCTGTGCCCATCCTCTCACCTCCTTCCATTCTGGACCTGAAAAACTGTTCTGAAAAAAATGTCATTCAAACAGTTTCTGTTTTTCCAGTTTTTCAAAGAAGAAGAAAAATCAAAGAAAAAATCCCAACCAGTTCTAATCAAAACACAAAAGCTCAGAGACATAATCCAGTCCAACTCCTGCCTGAGACAGAATGATTAGTATCCAAATCATCCCAAGCACATCCTTATCTAATCTATTACTAAAACTAAACAGGCAACCCTGCCACACGGCCACAAAGCATAGCACCCTGACTTGCCACAGGTAAGGCCAATATCCTGTTTCTGCAAAGGTTGTTAGAATAGGCTTGAGAGATCCAGGGAAGAGAGCCACATGCCCCCACTACAGAGGAAGGCAACACCCCCCACAGTCCATACCAATCCGACAGTGGGTGAAAAATCCTTCCTGGCCCCAGATGGAATGGGAATTGGTCTGACCCTGAACATAGAAGCAAGACCTACTATCCAGGAACCTCTGGGTTTTAGTCATAGCAGAAGCCTTGGCACAACCTAGTGAAAATCCCCAGCCTTGATCTATAATGACTATTATATTATAGTCACTTATAATGCTCTAATTTCAGAGCAGATAACTTACATGCCTCCCATCATGAATTCCACTTCCAAAACCTCCTTTCCCCAGAGAAGAAGACAACAACAAGTGATCAAGGAAGAACCCTGGTTTATCAAAGTCTCTTTTCTCAGGCATCCCTGGTAGCCAGTATGATAGAACATACGGGATGGGTATGACCGTATTCTTTGATTACAGTGTGACATGTTAGTATAGAATTAATAAAGTGGGACAAACAATTTTTGTGAGAGCGCACTAACAAAATGTAGGCTCTAAGTTGTACTTGCAGCTAAACCACCCTCAAGGTGCTCTCCAAATAAGAACAGTTATTATTCTATTGTAGAAGCTAAGACATCAAAAACAATATCAGCACTAACAATAACCAAACACAAAAGAGCTTAATCATAAAAGATCAGAAAACATGAACTTTGGTGATCTGGTTCTAATTATATGATGTGTACCATTTGAGTGGGAGCTATTATTTTTTATTCTCTTACCAAGAAAGTAAATCCAGCTAGTGGGTAGGCAGCTGATGTGCTTTAAGCACTGCACAGAACCTTACAACTAGGCTTGGCACAATTTGGTTTTTCTCGCTAAAAATTTCACCTCACATGTACAGACCGACAGAAAAATATTTCCATCAGTAATAAACAAAATGTATAGAAAAGGGATGTAAGAAAAAAAAAATCTGAGATGAGGGGGTAAGAAAATCCAGGCTGGGGGCGCCGTGCACAAACACACACATGGCAACCTCTGCAGGTAGGGTGGGGGAAGCCCGGGCTATGCTGCCTGCACACTGTTCTTCTGGCACTGGCTCAGGCAGCCGCTGCAGAAGCTGAGGGCTGTGCTGGGAGGGGTTTGGTTGGCTGCTGGCTGCTGGCAACAGAGCATGGAGGGATGACACCGCTGCAGGGTCGTCGCCAAGAGCCAGAGCTGTTGGCAGCCAAGAGCCCAGTGCCACAGGCTGCTTGCTCTGTCCAGGTCCCAAACGGGTATCAGATGACAAACTCCCATCGAGACTGACCCAGCTCCTGCATGCTCAAGGCAGGGCACATGGGGGTGTCCCCAGGGCCCAGCTACTGCCCATGTGCCACCCAGACGGGCAGGAGGCTATGGCTGGGCTGCCCCTCCACTGGTGCCTGCCAGGCAGGGCTTGCTCCCTAAGGGGCCGTGGGGAGCTGTTTCTCACCTAGAGCTTGGAAATCGCTGTCCCCAGCACAGCGCAGGGCTCGAGGCATTCAGTGGCACTTGGCAGGCTGGAGTCTCCTGACTTGCCTCCCCCTGCAGCAAGTGCCACCAACTCTAGTCAAAACCTACTAGCACCAGATAAGCTAAAAATGAAGGCCATTTCATATTCATATTTTTATTCACTTTAAAACACCTGCCAGTGTCTTACACCTTTTCAGAACTTGAGAAAATTAATGCATCCAAGAATTTGAAAATACATGCAATAAAACACAAACATTAGAAAACTAGGACATTTCACTGTTTGAGTACTGCCTTTTGTACCACACCTTGGTACAGCCTTAAATCAGCCCCCTGGTATCATTGCCATAATTCATGCCTTCGGTAAATGGGGCATTGCTACCCCACCACTCAATCTGTTAATTGGTACTTGTACTCACTTTACCTGCAGTATCAGCCTATATTAACATCCCTGGCAGTTTTGATTTGCAGTATTTTTGTGTATGTAATACAAATGCCAAGTAGAGAAATATTTCCCAGATTTCACTATGCAAGCTTGAGTCTGAATGAAAATTGTCATAGCTCACATATATCCAGAAAAGAAGATTTGAATTTGTGTTTTCAAAACTCCAGGACCAGTTCTTGTTCTCCAAGCTATGGTTTGTGTGGGTTATGCAACCTATGTTATTAAAAAAAAAAAAAAAAAAGATGGCCACAAACTCCTGGAAGATCAATTCAGGCTCAACATTAGGAAAAACTTCTTCACAATCAGGGTGTCCAGACTGTGGAATAAGCTCCCTCCGAAGGTGGTGCAATCGCCTACCCTGGAAATCTTCAAGAGGAGACTAGACAGTCACCTTGCTGGGGCCACATGGCCCCCAGTTGTCTTTCCTGCTTGGTGCAGGGGGCTGGACCTGATGATCTTCCAAGGTCCCTTCCGGCTTTATAATCTGTGAACAACCCCAGCCTGCGGACCGTAGCCGAGCTTCTGCCCCTGTGCTCCACTCCATGAGAGCAAAGACTCCAGCCTGGTATGAATATACTACCACATGAACAGAATGATTTAGAGCTGGTATGCTTTACTGATGTATGGATATTCTGACATGTGCTTTTATAAAGCTTTTGAGTATACTGTCATTTCTAAATTGTCTGCCTCCCATACCCTAATTGCAAACAATCCTGAAAATTTAAATCAATAAAAATCTAAATAAATGCTTAAAAATAAACATTGGTTTTAGCTGTTGAAATTAACAAAAAATTATAATCAAATTCTGCTAAGCCTCATTGTAACCCATCTCACTGTTACCTTACTCCTTTCCTGTCTGCCATTTGTATTGGTATTTCTTCTCCCCTCATGTAATTAAATTAAATATTTGTGTTATAGGGATGCATGATGCCTGGCACAATAGGATCTTGATATTTGATTAGGATCTGTTAATGCTACACAAGTCACATATATATACAAGTAAATGTATTATTAAAGGTTTTATTCACCTTCCCCTTTCCATTTCCAAACCACAATAATTTCTGTTCCCAGGAATAATGAACAGAAAGATCATTTTTGGTAGGCCTTATATAAACATTTTTATTTCTTTTGAAGAGAGAGTAGAAATTTATAGGAATCCCATTTATTATTCTTTTTTTTTAATTTATAGACAATACCATAATATACTTACTTGCTTTTGTTTGGCATGATTTTAGTTTTTGCCTGTATTGAAACTGATTTGAAATGGTTCCTTTTAACTAAATGGGAATCAAGTCATTATAAGCCCGGGACAGAAAAAGCAGCAGACAGTACAGGCTATAGATGAATCAATTCTGAAAAGCTATCACCTTGGAGCTGTATTATCTCCTCTCTCATGCAAATGATAGATCATTACAAAAACTACTAAAAATAACTAGCAAGGATGGAAAAAAGAAGGCCTTTCACTGTTCCTTGGAAATGTTCCTCAGAAAAAATCTTGCTGGAGTCAGCTCCACATGCAAAGTCAAACGAACTCAAACGTAAAAAAGGGTACCACCTGAAAGGAAAAAGACAGCAGCATCCTTCCCAGCTCTGCTTATCATTTTAGGCCTTACCTCTGAATTGAAAGTGAGTTGCTCATGAACTGTTTCTCCAGGTTTGACTTTAGCTACATCATAGGCTACAGTAAAGAGATCATCCTTAGTAACTACATCTTCATCATAGAGCTCCAACTCCAGAATGTTCTGAAGCCAAGGGAGAAGATGGGTAAGAATTCAAAATTATATTTTAGGGAAACCAAGAAATGTAGGTAATGCTCACAATGGCCCTGATGGGTTCAATCAATACGAAGGAATAAGTGATAGGGCTGTGCAAAGCTTTGGTCCCTTATTCGATTCGGCAGAAATTCAGCCCAATTCAGTGGCCAAATCTCTGAATCCAAACTGAATCAGGAGACCCTTTAATCTCTCTGAATTGAATCAGAACCCTCCAAATCAATTCAGAGAGATTCAGAAAGATTTGGCAATTCAGACATAGACACAGCTTTAAATGTTTTTTCTACATACCTCAAAGTACCAGGTGACTTGTCAACGCTGATATGCTGGGGCGCATGGAGTGTCCCACAGGAGCACAGGGGGTTCCTCAGTGCTCTCGGCAACAGACCCGGAAGTGGAGCAGAAGCACTTCTGGTCCACTTCTGGCTCCACTTGGGAGCTCCCCCTGTGCCCCCCCAGCTCAGTGACTGGTGCTTCCTGGGTCTCGGGGGCACCCAGGGTCCCTCCTACGGCCAATCACCAAGCCAGGTGAGCTCTGCGCATTCAGCAGCGAACCCACTTCTGGGTTTGCTGCCAAGCACGTGGGGCCCCCCCGCAGTCCTGTGGGATGCTCCATGTGCCCCAGCATCACAGCATTCACGAGCTCGAGGTATGTAGAAATGGTACCTCAAGGTATGTAGAAAAAATATTTAAAGCCCTGTTTACGGCCGAACAGTTGATTCTCTAAATCAGTATCAAATCTTCGAATATGGCCCGTTTCGCACACCCCTAATAAGTGACCTACCTTGACTTGAGTCTGGATCCTAAAATGGAAGCTTTCATTCCAGAGAGGGTTACTGTTGTCTGAGATGGTTTTGGTCCTGACCTTTTCATGTGAGGCTGTAGGCAACCACAGGCTAACATAGCAATCAGAATGGCTCACTACAGCAAAAAAAGAAATAATATATTGTATTCACATGAGACATAAAATACACTAGAAATTTACTAGTCTGATGCTAATGTTAGCTAATGTGTTTCTGACACTGTAAGAAAGTAATTCTGAAAGCAAGAGAGAGAGAGAGTCAGAATATGCTCAGCCTCTAAAAAGAACTCCATGACAGACAATGGACACATTTTCAAGATCTAACTCCTAAATGTTTGGAAGTGTGTAAGAGTACATGTGGTGACTACCAGTCACTTTGAACTAAAGGGATAGAAATATATAGTTGGTGGTCCAGGGGAGCGGACAGAAGAAAGAAGCAAGAGATTTGTTTCTTTTCGGAGGGCTTCCATATAACTTGCTATGAGGCTTGGGGAAGTCATTTAGGCCAACGATACCCAAAGTGACCTCTTGAAGAGCCACATAGCTAAAATGCATTCAAATAATGCAAAATATTATGATGCATCCAAAGACAAAGCAACACTTATTGCCTAATGTCTGCACTGAGGTAATGAGAGTATCCCAACATTTTATTTGATTTCTTGGTGATTATCACCTGGGAGGAGCCTTAGGTAATAAACTGAGAAAATTAACAAACTATAACTGCCCTTCTCCACCAGACACTACAAATAACTGCCTCAAACTAGAGTTGTTTAATAATCAAGGGAATGTAGCAAAAGAATTTTGCAATAAGTTGCAAACTATTTTTCAAAAAAGAAATTTATAGAATAATCTTCCCATCTCAACCAAGGAAAACCAACAGAAAATCCTGATTAGGAGCCCCTGATTCTTTGAAATGAGTTCCAGCACTGTCCCTCTATCTGTTAGTAGAATACTTAATGAATTTCAGACATTCTTGCTGATTTAAAAGGACTCCTGCTTCTATAATAATCGTTGCTCATACTCTGAAAACTGTAGGGGAAAAAGAATATGAATACTCACATAGGTCTTTGCAGGGAATGTGTCCGGCCTGAATTATTCTTACAGAAAGAAGATACCAGGAAGAGGTTTCCTTCTGTGGGAGAAGTAAGCACACAAGACCGAATTCCACCACCTTAGACTTGTGAGCATTACTTAGAGAGAAAGCTACATTGTTAGTCTCCATTAAAAGATCAAGTCATCTACTCATTTCTGTTGCCTAGAAATTAAAAGCATCAATCACTGACTTTATTCCATTATTTTCTGACTGTAAAAACCCTTTTAGCTTACATTGAAAATGCTACATATCAGCACAATGGGGCTTGCCATCCTTATATATCCAAAATATTCAGTATGTTTGGATATACTGCTCCTGATTCTTTGCTGCTTTCACTTTGTACAGTCAACCTGTTCAAAAGGGATTGTGAAGTGCTACCAGGCTTTCATAAGAACATATCATGCCTACTTTGCAACAGCTAGGCAACTTAAGCTTACATACATGCCTAACAAATACTGTGAATAAATTTATCTTGCTCTTATACGAAGCTTTTAATCAGTATATCTCAAAGTGCTTTATAGATGGGAAAACTGAGGCACAAAGCAATCAAGTGTTCTGCAGGTCAGTGTTGAAGACAGGAATACAATTCCTGAATCAAAGTCTAGTGCTCTAGCCACTGAACAATACTGCCTTGACTTTAGCAGAACTAATCACACATTTCAAGACAGGCACTATCAGAAGCCAGGACAAAAGGAGTAAAGGACTGTCATTAAAGAATTGGATTTGTTGAAAGATGAGTCTTCCAATTAGCTTTTTCCTTTACTCTAAACAACATAAACTACAGGTTACCCATTCTGACACTCCCTAAGTTTGATTTCTTCTACACAGAGGACAGAGCTGGACAAGACTGAGCATGTAAGAAGTGATTAACTAAAAAATCTGACGTCCTGCCTTCATTCTTATTTGTCCAAATGAGAAAAGGTTTTCCCACACACACTAGTGGTTTCCAAATTTCCTTTAGCAGTGTTAGTCATCGCACCAGTACCCCTTCACCACACCCACGACACTGGCTGCTGATTAAGCTAGTCATAAGGAAGCATGTCTAAGTATTTGGAGGAGGAAAGGCTGATAATGAGCAGCCAGCATGGATTTGTTAAGAACCAGTCATGCCAAATCAATGTGACCTCCTTTGAAAAAGTAACTAGCTGGGTGAATTAAGGGAATGTAATGGACTTGAAATTTAGTAAGGCTTTTGATAAACTGTCACATGACCTTCTCATAAGCAGACTGGAGAGATGTGGACTAGATAAAATTATCACAAGGTGGATAGATAATTGGCTCAAAAATGCAAGGAAGAAATAATCATAAATGGCAGTCAGAAAGCCAGGAGTTTTTGAGTGGGCCTTCACGGGAGATCTGCCCTGCATCCAGTGTTATTTACTGTGTTTGTTAACGATTTGCATGCCAGAATTCAATGCTTCCTGGGCAGTTTTGCAAATGACATGAAACTGGAAAGAACTTCAAACACACTGGACAATAGGAACAGAATTCAGAAGGGTCCTGAAAGATTGGAAAGCAGGGCTAAAGATCAAAACAGACAAATGCAATGTGCTTCACCTGTGGAAGAATAAATCAAAAGCACCAATACAGAATGAGAGATAATGGGCTGGGTGGCAGCATTGCTGAGAAGTATCTTGGGGGCTTTTTGGCTCACATACCTAACATGAGTCAGTAATGTGATGCAACTGCAAAAAAACTCCCCAGAAAATGATATTTTGATCTGCATCAACACACGCAAGTATAAAACACAAGAGGTGGTAAAGCCATTCTGCACGTGACTGGTTAGACCTCATCTCGTCGGGGGACGGGGAAGATGAGGGCAGAGGATACACCGGACCGGCACCC